GCCATAAAATTACACATAAATAAATCTGAGAGAAGACTCAAAAACTTCCAATGAATAATCTGGTCATAAACCCACAATTCATCTGATCCCAATAAATGCACCGCAAAAGTTTACATCGGATTGATCTCAGATGAGATCATTGTATTGAAGATCAAGAGAGAGAGAGAGAGAGAGAGAGAGAGAGAGAGAGTCATCTAGCTACTGCTATGGACCTGTAGGTCCTATGGGAACTACTCACACATCATCATGGAAGCAGCAAGGTTAATGAAGATTGCCTCCCCAATGGTCTCCCCCTCCGGCGGAGTACCAGCGGAGGCTCCAGATGGGATCGCTTCGCAACAGAGGCTTGCAACGGTGGAATAATTGTTTGTTTTGGGGCCTCTCTTGGGGGTTTCTGGATATATGGGAATTTATAGCACAAGAATTAGGTCAAATGGAGGCAGAGGGGGCTCACAAGGCACTTGGGTGCGCCTTGCCTTGTGGCTCTTGTGCATCTTCTGGCCTCCTCCTGAAGCTTCCAGGGACTCTTTTTGTCCAGAAAAAATCATCAGTCTTTTTGTCGTGTTTGGACATCATTTGATATGGATTTTCTAGAAAACTAAAAGCATGTAGAAAACATGAGCTGGCACTGGGCACCGAGTTAATAGGCTAGTCCATAAAAAGTATATAAAATGGCATATAAAGTATATAAAAATGATAATATAGTAGCCCGAAACAATAAAAATATAGATACGTTAGGGACGCATCAGAAATCTGATCAACACTTTAGTTTGATGCATAGCTAAATTCCTCTTCACTGTCATCTAAAAATATGTCTTCATTATCATCTTCTAATCCCTTGGCAGCACTGATATCTTCTTCTAATTCCCCATCAACCAATTTCTCCTTCCCTTCCTTTTCAACTCAACATCTTTAGGGGCAAAATCTATGTTTAACCTCCTTCTAACTGCCAGAGAATTGTTCATGCACAACTCTCATATGATAGAGGCAAAGGTGTCCCATATTTCGATGGGATGGTGGCTATCATTTTGGAGGAAGTCGACTTTGACGATCCGACTACGAACATGCGAGGACGTCACGCTTTAGCAATCACTAAACCAACTCCGAGAGGTTATTGACCACGCCGAAGCACGATCAACCTGACCACGAAGGTTTGTTTCCTGCAGGCAAACGAAGAACAAGCAAGAAACCAAGATTGCAATCTAGATATTGTGAATATAAGAGGAAAGCTTTATTGATCAAAGGTGGGGTTCTGTGACGCCTTTGTCTGGTCGTTGAACACAAACAAAGTACGCGAAGTTGCAGCTATGGCGAACTTTAATCTAAACAAAACCCCCCAAAGTCTAAACGACACCCTAAGGGTTGTATATATGGAGGAAGAGGGGGGAATTCATGGCCCTTGGAGGAGGGGTCCGAAACCAACCCTAACTCTTGTTTCCCCACACATACAGACTCTAAAAATAGCCTATACTTAAGTATTTCGAAAATACATGGGCTTGGCCCAATAATAAGGTGACGCAACACCTAGAATAGCCTCTGGACAAAATTCATGAAGTGGCATCTTGTATATTTCGTCCAAGGCTTCATGCACTCCTTACGGTGGCTTCAAAGTCCTAAAATCATCACTTGTAACTCCGTTCTTGATCCCCTTGCACATGCCATCATCTCCATGCTTGGTCTTGCTCCAGTGTTCATCCCTCTTATCCATGCCAGGCCCTTCATTTGTAAGCAAAACAAATGTATCCAATTTAGGCAGCATCATATTCTCATGAACATTAGAATCATTACCAAGAAACGAAAGTACCTGATAATTTAATTGGCGTGCGCGAGCTCTAGTAATTGGTCCAGTGTGTATAGCAACAGGGGTTGTGGGTGTAACAATGGTATTGATGTCCTCATCATCATATCCACCAAACATCATGCTAAACATGTGTTTAATGAATGCAAGAGCCAAATTCCCTGTTGCAACATACCTCTTCTCAAATACATTCTTGCAAGGACTAATTGCTCTAGGTAGCTCTACTAGTTGCAAAAGCACATTATCCCAAAGTTGTTTCTCTAGCACACTATCATGATCAACATATACAAGCAATTTGTGCAAAACATGTGCACAAAATGACTTATGTATTTGGCTTTATCCTGATGTGGAAATGAACTTCGGATACTTTTCAAGCACAAATCCTAAATATACTTGGCTCACTAAGTACACCAACAACTTATACTAAACAAGATATGGAACAAGGATGATACGAGCAAGCACAAGTATGTTATACAATCCTGCACAAGTTATATCACAAGATATGAAAAGAATGATGCAAACTAGCAATTCACACTAAGCCCAAGATATATCAATAAAGCAAGTATGCAATGCAGTCAGTAAAGGGGACAAGATGCAACCGATGTGTTTACTGGAGTTCGGATATCCACCGATGTCCTACTCTCCATTATTGAAGGGGGGCAACGGATGCTCCCACGACAACAAATGTCTCACCTTATGTCTCTAAGAGCCTCGGTAAACGAATGTCCGAGCTCCCTTCACTAGGGCAAGCTTCTTCCTCCACTTTGGAGATGGAAAGCTCCACAACCACCTTGGGCCTCTTCACATGCTTCACGAAGAGATTACCAAGCCAACAATACCAAACCGTCTAGGAGGTGGTGGCCTCCAAGAGTAACAAACTCATGGACTCTCACTCGAACCAATCTACGTGGAGAGCTCAAACCAATGCACCAAATGCAAAGCAAATCCAATTAACATATGCTCAAATCTCTCCCTCAATTCTGACAAGATGCAACTCGAATAAGTGGGAGGTTAGAGAGATGGGAAACAGTGGAGGAGATCAACAAATGACTCCTAGAACCATCCACAAATCTTCCCTTCACTTAGATGGGAGATTGGGGCTTTAGGGGTGTGGATAATGCTCAAAAGGATGGGGGAAATCAAATCTAAGAGTTGTTATCCGTTGTGGAGGAAGGGGGCCTTATTTAGATCCCATCCAAATCTGCGTGTTAGGATGCCATCCAAAAAAGTCAGATTATCTGACAGGGGTCAGACATTCCAACCTATCGGATGTTCCGAACTAATACCTGTCAGAATGTCCAAGCCTATCCAGTGGCTTTGGATTGGGTTGGGTATTAGGACAAATATTTGGTCGGATATTCTGACATGTCGGATATTAAGTCGGATACTCGGACCGTCAAAAGACAGCTTCAACACAACACGGAGACATGCATAACTTTCTCATATGAACTCCATTTTCAATCTCGTTTTGAAACTATGGTAAAGCTCAAGATCCTCGCATAGAGAACCACCCAAGAACAACTCAAAAGGAGGATGCAAATAATGCAAAGATTTGAGTACTCTACGTACGACATGATCAAGCTACTTGCCCGACAGCCCCTCTCGACAGTATGACTACCAAACCTATAATCTGGTCTCCCACCAAGCACCATGAGACCGGTAAAATTACGAAAACCTAGCAAATTCATACCTTTGCCTTATGCATTCCACTTGAGCTGAAAGATGGTCTTCATGTTTGCCTCAAGTTGGAATCATATTTTTGATCTCGGTCCCTTTGGTGAAGACTCTAAATTTTCTCCCTCATAAACCAATATGGGAGGCCTTCACTTAAGCACTTCTTCACATGTACATTTCCACCAAATGGATGGCAAGCTTCAAGCATATAATTACTCAGGTGCTTATCTTGAACTTTCCCTTCTCAACCATGATGCCCATCTCCACTTGATATCATCCTCACATGGGCCATTTGAAATCTTTCTCTTTGATGCAAGCCCATGAGTACCATCTAACCCACATAGACATAACAAAACACATAGCATGGGTTAGTTTATAAGACACAATTGACAATTGCTTACCATGCCATTAGAACACTTGATCTCACACAATCATTCATTCATGCTTGTGTGTTGACCATCTAGAATCCAATCCTTGGGCTTCATCTTGGCCAACATTAATCTTTACTTCATGTTCTATCACAATCTCTTGGGAGACATGAAGAATACTTCTATCCAATTCATTCTCTCAAGATCTTGATACTTTGAAGTCCATTTCCTTTCGTACTTCTTGATAATAATATATCCATCTCTTCAAGTCAACGATCTTGCTGCATATACTCACTTTGATTGCAGTCTTCTAAAATCCATCTAATATACTTTATGCACCACTAACCTCAATGCATATCTTTATCTTGATGGCTTTCATTGTTGAACCCATCGAATATTATCAATGCATTGCCTATGGAACATTCCTTCATATACATCTAAATGAAAAACATTAGTCCATGGGGATTGTCATTAATTAGCAAAACCATACATGGGGCTACATGTACTTTCAAGTCCCCTTCTCACATCTATTGAAAACATTCACTGATTCCTGCATGTAGGCACGATTTGATCCAACTCCACAAAATCATCCATTGTGATGAATTCCAATGCTAAATAAGTCGCTACAATCACCGACATTGAAAGAAATTGAACAAAATTATAGTCTATACGTCCATCCTCAAATTTCTCCTACGACTGCAGTGATTTTTGTTAATTTCATCATCACACAACCATCTACTACACAAGTACTTAGTCCTGTACGATAATAATAATTTGAGGTCTATTCCAACTCAAATACCAGAAATTTCATCAAACGATCATCGTCGCCGCAAACTCTAACCAAAATTCGGCTGGTGTGTTTATCTCGAGTTCATTGACAAATGGTGTGTTTATCTCGATTTTTAGCATTTCCCGTTAAAATATTCGGACAAAGCTTTGGATCCGACGTGGTGCCGTACTGACCAATTTGAAAAAAAGGCAGGTTCGAATCAGTGCTTGCCGTTTGATTTCCCCAACGTTTATCAACCCGTCTCCCCCAGATCTCCGCCGCACACGCTCCTCCTCCGCTCCCCTCCCCTCCGCTCCTCTCCCAAATTTCAAATTCCCTCCCCTCCCATTCCACCCACCTCCTCGCCGAAACCCTAACCGCCGCCGCTGCCATGGGGGGCTCGCACAGCCGGGAGGACCACGACCTCTCCGACTCCGACGACGACGACACCTCCTCCCGCGCCTCCGACGCCTCCTCCGACTTCTCCACCCCTCCCCCCGCCTCCGCCTCCGCCTCCAGAGCCGCCAGAGCGGCGACCCCGGCCTCCGTCGTCGACGACATCGACCACCACCTCCGCAACCTCCAACTCAAGTACTCCGAGCCCATCTCCCCGAACCCTAGCCCCGCCCCCAACCCCGGCGCCTCCGCCTCCGCTTCCGCCGTCAATGCGGTCAAGCTGTACCTCCACATAGGCGGCTCCACGGCCGCCGCCCGCTGGGTGAACTCCGAGCGCCTCGCCGCCGTGTCCTTCGTCCGCTCAGGCGAGGGCGCCTCCGACCCCGACGAGGACGACGAGCCCACCGGGCCGTGGTTCCTCGTCGTGGGCTCCAAGATCCGGGCCAAGGTCGGGCCCGAGCTGCAGCTCAAGACCTTCCCCTTGCAGCGGCGCGTCGACTTCGTGGCCGACGGCGTCTGGGCGCTCAAGTTCCTGCACGCCGACGGCTACGGCCACTTCAACGCCAAGTACCAGAGCTGCCTGTTCGAGAACAGCTACGGCGTCGAGGCCACCGACGAGGGCCGCGCCAAGGTGTTTGGGAAGGAGTTTGCTGCGTGGGCGCGCCCAGAGTGTGGCGATGAGTCCATCTGGGAGGACGCCAGTGATGCTTTCTCGCCAGCCCCCAAGGGCAGCCCGATGCCTGCACGGAGCCCGATGTTGAGACCTCTGATGGAGGATTTCAGGGAATTTGAGGAGCCTGTGGAGGAGGGTGATGGTAACATACAGAGCCTTGCGCTGGGCGCTCTTGACAACAGCTTCCTTGTTGGTGATTCAGGCATTCACGTGGTCAAGAACTTTGAGCACGGCATACACGGGAAGGGTGTCTCTGTGAAGATCTCTGGAGGGGGAACAAACTTCACCACACCAAAGAAAGCACTTCTGATGCGTGCTGAGACTAACATGCTCCTGATGAGCCCAGCAACTGATGGGAAGCCACATGCCAAGGGGGTGCATCAGCTTGACATTGAGACAGGGAAGGTGGTCTCACAATGGAAGTTCGGGAAGGATGGAGCTGACATTAACATGAGGGATATCACTAATGATAGCAAGGGCGCACAGATGGATGCGTCTGAATCCACATTCCTGGGACTAGATGACAACCGGTTGTGCCGGTGGGATATGAGGGATAGACATGGAATAGTGCAGAACTTGGCTAGTTCAATGGAGTCCCCAGTGTTGGAATGGACCCAGGGGCATCAGTTCTCCAGGGGAACAAACTTCCAGTGCTTTGCATCAACTGGTGATGGGTCCATCGTGGTAGGCTCGTTGGATGGGAAAATTCGGTTGTACTCAAAGAGCTCTATGAGGATGGCGAAGACGGCCTTCCCAGGGCTGGGTTCACCAATTACTCACGTGGATGTGACGTACGATGGGAAGTGGATACTGGGAACCACTGATACCTATCTGGTACTCATATGCACCATTTTCATTGACAAGGATGGGAAGGAGAAGACAGGATTTGGTGGAAGAATGGGGAACCGAATTGCTGCACCAAGACTGCTCAAGCTCAGCCCACTCCACTCTCATCTTGCAGGGGACAACAGCAAGTTTCGTGAGGGCAGGTTTTCATGGGTCAGTACATCTTACCACTTCTGCTATTGTGAATTCCTGCTCAAATTTACTTATTGTTGCATTACATGAAGACTTGATCAAATTTACTTATTTGTGGTCTGGTATATAGATGCTATGTTGCATTTAAGTTGGGACTGGTCGGTGATCAGATGACTGAAAGTGACATTTCTTGATATCTTGAATATTAGTAACCACCAATTTATGAGGTCTACTCCACATCTTATGGGCATAGTAATTCTGTAGAAGGTTTTCGGTCACACACGGTGCTAGATTCTATTTTGTGGCTTCTGCTCGTTATGTTTTGGATTTCTACCTTTATGTTTACTTATTTTTACTTTTATAGGTCATGTATGCTATATGATTGAATATTTGTGCAGGTCATTTATTTGTTGATATTGCCATATTGGCTATGGAATAATTGATGTATCGGTTACATGGCAAGGCATATGCTAGTGTGTACTCTTGAGTCATATTGCCTCCATTTTCGTCACTAGCATATAGGACCAGCAAGCCGGTTTGACTTTTTGTAGAAATTGAAATTTTGTCACTGTCAAATTTTGTTTACATACATGGCAGAATATTTGTAGCTACTGCAAATACCATTGTACCTTCCCTGTCTAATATGTTTAATATTTTGTGTTAAACTATACAGTGTCTAGGTTTCAATGTTTGAGCTTCTTTTGCATATTTACACACGGTAGACATTTGTGGTCTTATGCATGGTTAGGAAATCTGGCTGCATGTTTTGTTGCTTCATTGGCTGCAGTTCTGTGGTTCTATATTTGAGCTTCATTATCTTCGTTGATGGATAATGGTCGACTCTGCTGCATTTGAATCACCTAATATTCTTGCACTATAAACAAAATGGCAACGAAGCCATTCTTCTAGCTATCACAATAGCCTGAACGATCCCTTTCGCATTGAGAAAATTTTCTGCCTGCACTGAAGTACATTTACTATCTGGTATCAAGCACTCATTCTAGTAACTACGCAGGTCACGGATAACGGCAAGCAGGAGAGGCATCTCGTGACGACCGTGGGGAGGTACAGCGTGGTGTGGAACTTCCTCCAGGTGAAGAACAGCCACCATGAGTGCTACAAGAACCAGGAGGGGCTCAAGAGTTGCTACTGCTACAAAGTGATCCCCAAGGACGAGTCCATCGTGGCCAGTCGCTTCATGCACGAGAAGTACGACGTGAGCGACTGCCCCGAGGCACCTCTGGTCGTCGCGACCCCCATGAAGGTCACCTCCTTCAGCGTGTCTAGCCAGCGCTAGCTCCGCGCTGCCGCCTCTCAGTGTGTGCTTTTTTTCCAGTTTGGTTGTTGGTGTCCGTGCTGTCATGTAACTTCTTGACCCGCGGATCTGGACTTCCAAGTGTGGCGATGACTATCTATCTTAGTCATGGCTTGTTACAGGATTTATGATTATGTGGATTGCTAGCAAAACTATCTTACACAGTGATGACTTGTACTGGCTGGATTGATTCTGAATTTCTTTGAACGAAGGAATGAATTTCAACTCTGCAAACATGATGCATTCATCTGTCCATGTGTCATGGTTTTATTCCTTCTGGCCCTACGCCAATGCAAGTGCCCATTTTTTGTTGAGGTTAAACTTTTTCCTGCGCAATCTCCACAAAATCATAGATTGCTGCTGCTTTATAGTATCTAAGCATGGCAAAGTTTGCTCTTTAACTAACAAATCTATACTACTTGTTTTTTAACTTAACAAATCTGTACTACTTGTTTTTGAACTTACAAAGGCCTCCTTTGGGCCAAAAAGTCTACATACAATATCTGTGGTGGTGACATACTGACATGTGGTGTTTAATTTTTATGGAAGACTGATTCTGATGACTGTTTTGTAGGAATTCTATAGGATGGAATTCCTATAGGAAATTTTCCTTCAGAGCCTTTTAGTTTAAAGGAATGGTTTCTTATTCCTATGTAGGATTGGTTCCTATCCTCTCAAATGAAGAAAAACATTAGCTCACATCTAATGATTTTTTTTATCCTTTGAACCAAATGGCATCTCTTTTCCTATAGGTCATCCAATACACCATCATTCCTATGATTTTCCTATCCCTGATTCATAGTATAGGACATGGGAACATGAAAATTATAGGGAGTGAGGTAACATGTACTGCAGGAGTAAGATGTCATTTGATGCATATGATAAGAATTTTCCATTGAGGCTATTTTTTTAAATGTAAAATATTGGTTCCTATCCTATACATAGGAATAAAAATTCGTTCCAACAAACCAAAGGGCTTCAAAGGATTTTTTCCCCTTTGAAAATCCTACTATCATATACTCCCTCCGTTCCTAAATACTCCCTCCGTAAGCTAATATAAGAGCGTTTAGAATACTAAAATAGTGACCTAAACGCTCTTATATTAGTTTATAGAGGGAGTATTTGTCTTTTTAAAGATTTCAAATGAACTACACATACGGATGTATATAGACATATTTTAGTGTAGATTCACTCATTTTGCTTTGCATGTAGTCACTTGTTGAAATCTCTAGAAAGACAAATATTTAGGAACGAAGGGAGTATAAGTCTTTGGAGAGATTCCACTATGAACTACATACGGACATCCGTATGTGGTCCATAGTGAAATCTCTAAAAGACTTATATTTAGGACCGGAGGGAGTAGAATTCCTACAGAAAAAAACCTGCAAACCAGAGGCTTGCCCTTTTTTGAGCGAAGGATTGACTTTTGTCCGTGTGTCTTTGTTCGATGTCTCAGGCCATTTCTTTGGCAATGCAAGCAACATTTTTGTTTAAGTTAAACCGTTTCATCTGCAATCCCCGCTAAATCACAGATTGCTGCTGCTTCACAGTTCTAAGCATGGCAGTGTGAACCCATCTTATTTGTTCATCAACATACGACCAAATCAATGAATAAATCTAATATCTCTGGTGGTGATCCATTTATCAGCGGTCCTCAAATCTAATTTAAAATGTTTAAGTAATATTTCAACTATCTCAGGCTCCTGGCTAGTAGTACATGCTATGACATACACATAGCAATTTCCTTTTACTCATCCGTTCTAAATTAGTTGACTTGAATTTGTCTAAATACGAATGTATCTATAGTTGTTTAGTGTCTAGATACATTCGTGTCTAAATAAATGTGCGTCAAGTAATTTGGAACGGAGGGAGTAGATAATTACGCATAGAGGTTTATGAAAGTATGAAGGTCAAAACATCATAGCAAAATGCACCTAAGAGGAAATGATAGGGTTTCAATTCTTGTCATTCACTGCTTGATATTACGGTCTAGCCGGTATCAGGTTCAAAACTGCTCCAGGTCTAGCAATACAACTGTTTCAAACGAAAACACAAGGGAACTGTCCTCTACAATGAAGTCCTAAATGAATTGCTTTAAGGTACGAGGATAAGAAAACCAGCGCCGCCTCCATGAATGGACACCATCCTCTCGTCCTGTGGCCCCTCACCTGTGGAAAGAGCAACAGAAAACCTTAGACCAGTCACCATGTCAATATAGCAAAATAATTCACCAGGAGCAGAAGGAAAAAGAACATCTAGCAGGTGTGACTAGGGGTTGCAGCAGGCACATCAGGCCAATGATATTACTTGTGTGAGTGTGTGACGCACAACAATGATGCCAAGATTGTAATGGGGAAAGTATCTAGTGCTCCCAGACCTAGGGTGCTCCCAGTGCTCCGATGCGAAAAACATTTTTTAAAATGTTCAAAAAATTCTGAAAAAAATGCAGCACATCAACGGAACATTGATGTCTCTGGTCACAAAATTTCAAATCAAAATTCAAAACATTGCTCGAGATACAAAAATGACAAATTTGACATCAATGTGATAATGGGCCAAAACTAAAGCCCAACTTATGTTATGTACAAAAAATTGTCATTTTTGTATCTCGAGCAATGTTTCGAATTTTGATTTGAAATTTTGTGACAAGAGACATCAATGTTCCGTCGATGTGCTGCATTTTTTTCAGAATTTTTTGAGCATCTTAAAAATGTTTTTCGGACATTTGGAGCACTGGGAGCACCCCAAGCCTGGGAGCACTAGATACTTTCCCGATTGTAATGATATGCACATGGATCGCAATTTCATTAAGTAATATTGCATACAGATTGTGAACTCCACACGTCCTCAGAATTAAACATACCATACCAATTGATCAAATACAAAGCTGGGTGATACGTTTAATGTTCAAGGACAAAAGTCATTGCAATTTCATAATTGATGAAAGCAGCCCTCTTGGAATAGCAAGCAAAATGCAATGAAGCCTAACCAACTCGAATGGTTGACAACCAGCTTCTATCATGAAAATGTTGGGCTCGTGACTAACTTTTCTTAGTGCTGGTTAAGGCCAGGATTCAAGGTTTAGAGTATATTTGCTATAAATTCGACTTAAATAATTTGCAGGTTATCAAACAAAAATATTTGGCATATTTCAGTCTTATATTCCATCAGAAGTTGCAAAGTCTAGTTTGTTCAGACATATGTAGTTCAACAATGTATGATCACATGTTTTCTGAATCCTGAATCAGACACACTCACAAATTAAAATGCAAATATAAGGAGGCACACATTCTTCTGATATATCAGATGGATGTCATTGACTGTGATCACATGAATACTTGAAAATGTTAGCATATGGTTATTTAAAAGGACCTGGTGCATAAAATACTGCTTCCGCATGCAGGCACACAAGCCTAACTTATCATCACCATGGTTTCACCATGGTTCTACCTCGCAATTTTATATAGGGTAGAGCAGGTCCCTGAATGAAACATTGTCAAGATAATCAAAACAGCGTAAATTATGAAAACTACAGTAAGCCTCTAAAGCAGATCAAACCAACTGCTTAAAGGATATTAGCTTGGAAGTTTGCACTTCTAAACGCAGGCAAACAACAAAAAAGGCACAAATAGAGGCATTTAATTTCATCAAGAACTGAGTATATAGAATAAAGAAAATAACTACCAGTGTATTGATAGTTAAATATAAGCACACATTGTTCAAGTTTGCACTGGCTGTTACAATGAAACATTTGACACAAAAGGAGCTGATGCATATACAACTTATAGTGGCTCCCTTAGGGGCTAGGGCATCTACAGCCGGGCTCCTCAAATGCCCCCCTATACGTCCAGGCAGATGGCCCGGTCAGTGACCGGTTACGAAATAACGACCCAGCCAGGCTCCTCAAACCAAGTAACTCGCACCTCTAGGCTTCAATGCTGTTGGTAAGGTAAACGTTGTAACTTGTGAGAGGCTAAGAGCATGTGAATACCCGGCCAGAGCCCCAAAATCGGCTCCAAACCAAGTAACTACTCTAGCACACAAAAATGGAAATCACGGAAGCCACTAGAGTCAATCCAGTGAGTAATTATCTCAAAACTATGGCACCCTGGTGAAAACGAACCAAAATGACAATTCTCATACAAACATAGCACCACAGGATCAATCACACTGCCTAATAGAGACGAACAGAACAAACATAATTGGAGTCAGTTCTACCAAGTAACCGATTCGATCTCACAGATGTACGATGCCATACCACAAGAGAGAATTTCACGACAGCGAATCCCACGCACAACGTCCACAAACACACGCATCAGAACAACGGGCGCACAGAATTGCAGACGAAGAAACTAGATCCCAGATCGGAGGGAGGTGCGGGGAGCGAAGAAGTACCTGCGGAGGACCAAATCAGCCGGACCCGACGATGATGTTGTTGATGGGGATGAAGATGAGCTTGACGAAGAACCCGACGAAGCCCATGACGACGAACCCGATGGCCGTCCGAATGGCCACCTTGGTGAACTCTACACACGCCAGAAAACCATACGGCGTCAGATCTGGGCCGGAGCTAAGACCACCGCGTCGGCGGATCCGATGCGCCGTGTCCTTACCCTTTCGGTCGGGCTTGTGGCAGCGCTTGACGAGGCGGACGCTGTCCTTGGCGAACTCCCGGAGCGGGTCGACCACGGAGTCCACGGCGTCCATGGCTGGCTGCGGCGCGGGGAGGAGGGAGATCTCGCCGGAGAGGTGGGAGCAGAAGGTGGAGATGGGTTTGCTCGTGTCTGACGATGTGGATGGACGATGCGTGTTTAATGAGACAAGTCTGCTGCTTTCTTAGATGGGCCTCCTGGGCTTGCAGACTGAAGAAAACGGACCAATTTGGGCTTCAGTGGGCCCAATTGCTTGCAGACTGAAGAAAATGGACCAACTTTCGACTATCGCATTACTATTTGGGCTTCAGTGAGCCCAATTTTATTGTGTATCTATATCTGGGTTCCTGTCCCTAAAAAAAAGACTGGGTTCCCTTGGAAATGACGATATTCCGGGGAGCCCAAGCACTTGTCACGTATTGGCACCTTAACAAACGTAGCGGTTACGGAAGTTGGATTTTTGTCTTCGCGGATGTGTTCATGCAGATATGATGAGTTCGTAGTAGTGCCTGGTAGTTTTGTTGTGGTTTGGTGTGCTTATCTAACATCTTGGTGAAGATTTTGTGGTTTGATGACCTACATTACATTACTAGGGGTCGTCCGCGGCACAAGCACGTTCCACACTCACAACTTCCCATGTTTTTAGATGGTGGGCGGCTCACAGAGCTTCAAAAACCATTCAAGGTAGTCAAGTTCATGCAAGTATACAGATAGCGGTGTCGCGACTTCAGACTGGCGGCGTTATCTTTACTGAAGCATGGGTAGTAATTCATGTTGCAAGGACTGTCACCACAAAGAATAAGCTTCAAAAGATTTCATTGTAATTCTTAAAAAGCATGAGCCATTATGTAATTTCTTGGGATTATGATCCAAAGCATTTGTACTCGTAATGGGTGTCAAGTTTGAATAAAATTACACGTGGCTCTAGAAAAGGTCATGCGCTTAGTGGGCCGGTCCATGCTTTGTTTTTTAATTTTCTTTAGGATTTTATTATTTTAGAGAAAACATGACATATTTATTTATTTTTCTAATAAAAATTCAAAAATTTCTGCAAAATCTGGAAATTTCTTTTAAAAACAACATTTTTTAAAATGTGAATATTTTATGAAAACCAAACATTTGTTATTTTCTTGAAAATTCTAAATGCCAACATTTTTATTTTCTTTAAGAATACTTAATAAACCTTTTTTATAAACAAATAATAAATCTATACCTACTAATAAAAGAAACATGTATTATTAGTCTGTCATGTTATTTTATAGAAAACCTCCTGATGTTTCTAACATTAAACCCCCAGTACATATCAAATGTTTTTTAGAATACTCATACCTTCTAAACCATAAATCTAAATTTAACATAATATATATATATATAATTTGATTAGAAAAATATATAGAATATGAATATAATGTTATTTAACCTGTTAACCACTAAAAATACTATCTATGGTGCAATCTCAATCAATAGTGCATTATTCGTCTTTCTTTCATATCGGTACTGATCCGGACTGTAGATGAACATCTCAGCAAAATCAGGATTGAAGACAAATTTGTAGATCACTTGTTTGTTTCTTTGTACGTATTAAATCTACATGCAAGCCATGTTTAAATAGAAGACATGTGGAATCTTGAACTTGTGCTTTTGTAGGCAAAGATCATCTTTGTTTGGGCCGTAGCTACAAATACTCAGATTATAGACCATTTTTTTTTAATTAAGAGAGTGTGGTATTTTTTACTCCCCTTGCAACGCAGGGACCCTTTTGCTAGTAAATCTAAAATACCGGTAAGGGAAAATAGAACGAAGAAAACCAAAGAACAACCCAGACCAAGACCTCTAGAAGGTTCCTCGTGAAAATCCTGGCTAAATAGGGCGGCCCTTTCAGTTGCTTGGTTTTTAGCCCTGTGAGATTGGCTAAATGGGCTGGCAACTCTGTTGCTTGGTCTTTAGCGAAGCCCGAGTGGGTCGGGCTAAACCTTTCGCCCGCTTATGGGTATGTTTTTAGTAGACAAGTTGAACATGTTTCGTCCCCTAAAAAAAGTTGAACATGTTTCATATACACGTCAAATATTTTCCGAATACACAGCAAATGTTTATCCGAATACATGTCGAACATTTTTTAAATAGACACTGAACATTTTTTAATACACAATGAATATTTTAAACACACGATGAATATTTTTTGTGAGACGTGTGGACATTTCGTAAGTGTGTATGAACATTTGATTTAAATGTAGCAATTTTTCTATGTGTTATGAACATTTATTTTAATGTCACAGGCAATTGCTTGGATGGTGCAAACATTTTTGACGAATTATGTGAGCAATGTTTTACATTTTCATGAGCATACTTAGAACATGTCAAGACCATATTTTTAAACGGGCAGACAGCTTAAAATGACAAGAACACTCTTTTGAATGGCATGCGTTTTTTTAATAAAATTGCATAAAGAAATTTTAACATTTCAAGAATATTTTTACACAGCAAACGTTATTGAAAATGTATTCAAAGCAAGCGTATGAAAAATAGTGAACATAACTATTAATGGGCCGACCTAGCACACATGATCCTTAAGGCGGCGTAAACGCGCGAGGCCGACACTACGTTGCTCAGAGCGACAAATAGGAAATGTCGATATTATCGATGTTTCCTATTGTTGTTGTTGTTGTTGTTGTTGTTGTTGTTGTATGAATAATAAATTGACCCTGAGGATTTCTTGCAAGAACAAATCAAATAATGAGTAAATTAGCCCGAGGGCTTTCCCCAAAAAATCTATGTTTTGACTTTATCGTAGCTGCAACCTGCTTATTACCCCATGTTAGCAATGTGGACTCAACTGGATATTTTTTGATTCGTAATGGCTTGATCTTGGTATCAAACATTGGGTGCAACTTGTTGGGGGAAGAACAAGACTCGATCCAGTGCAGAGAGATGAGAAGTCATACATAGCCGATCATGCCTTCAATTACTACACGGCTATGCAGCAGGGAGACGATCATGCGTGCAATTAAATGCTCATGCTTTTAACTCGTCAAAAATGTGAGAAGTTTAAATTGGAAGTGACTAAGGGCGCGTTCGGACTCCCTCCGCTCCGCGTCGGAGCGGAGTGGCGATCCAGTTATAAATCGGGGAGCTGGTAAAAGGGCGCTCCACCCGCTCCGCTCCGCGGAGAGCCGCTGAACAGGCGCTAAATCTCAAGTGTCTGGGAAAATGATACATGTTGGTTATTTTTTTACTGTTCGTTGGACCTGCATCCAACAGTTCGCAAGTAGTCTTCTTGCTCGCAACCAACTTCTTCATGAAGCCATGATCCGATCCAACCCTCGCATACCCTTCGACTTGCCTCGCCCCATACGCCTACCCCACCGACTCACCGCTCCACACTCCAAACCCTCTGACCTCATGTTTCGGCTCGACAGCCTCCATACCCGCACTATTCAATCTGCTTCCTCGCCTCTACCTCATACGTCATAGCTCGCTAGTGCTCCCGGCATTTTCCTCATCTTCGACGAGGTCCTGGCTCGGCCTCGTCGGGGTCGACTCACCTCACACCGCCCTCACCTTCGGCCTCGGGCGAGGCAGAAAATCGACTGACATGTGGAAATGTTTCAGGCACCTGCGTATTAGCAAATTCGTTTAAATTTGAGTAAAAGGGCTAGAGAAAATGGAAGCAGTTGTTGGATTATGGGTGGGCTTAGGCCTATATAAAACAATAATCTCTGGTTAATCTCTAAGGCCCATGCATGTGTACGGCAAGTGGTGAGAAGTGGTGGGAAGTTTAGTACCATACTGCTACAGTAAGAAGAGTGAGACATCTTTATAAGGGCTGCTCCATCACTTGCTATTGGGAGCTTGGGAATAGGAGCTGTACACGCGCGCTCCTCCTCCTCCGCCGCCCGCCTCGCCTCGCCTCGCCTCTGAAGGAAATGTGCCCTAGAGGCAATAATAAAGTTGTTATTTATATTTCCTTATATCATGATAAATTTTTATTATTCATGCTATAATTGTATTAACCGAAAACTTAGTAACAGAGTGTCACTAGTATGCCTCTACTTGACTAGCTCGTTAATCAAAGATGATTAAGTTTCCTAACCATAGACATGAGTTGTCATTTGATGAACGGGATCACATCATTAGAGAATGATGTGATTGACTTGACCCATCCGTTAGCTTAGCACTATGATCGTTTAGTTTATTGCTATTGCTTTCTTCATAACTTATACATGATGTGGTTGACTTGACCCATCCGTTAGCTTAGCACTATGATTGACTATGACTATGAGATTATGCAACTGCTGAATATCGGAGGAACACTTAGTGTGCTATCAAACATCACAACGTAACTGAGTGACTATAAAGATGCTCTACAGGTGTCTCCGATGGTGTTTGTTGAGTTGGCATAGATCGAGATTAGGATTTTTCACTCCGTGTATCGGAGAGGTATCTCTGGGCCCTCTCGGTAATGCACATCACTATAAGCCTTGCAAGCAATGTGACTAATAAGTTAGTTGCGGGATGTTGCATTATGGAACGAGTAAAGAGACTTGCCGGTAACGACATTGAACTAGGTATTGAGATACCGACGATCGAATATCGGGCAAGTAATGATGTCTACTACACAACCTTCTTCTTGTAGACGTTGTTGGGCCTCCAAGTGCAGAGGTTTGTAGGACAATAGCAAATTTCCCTCAAGTGGATGACCTAAGGTTTATCAATCCGTAGGAGGCGTAGGATGAAGATGGTCTCTCTCAAGCAACCCTACAACCAAATAACAAAGAGTCTCTTGTGTCCCCAACACACCCAATACAATGGTAAATTGTATATGTGCACTAGTTCGGCGAAGAGATGGTGATACAAGTGGTATATGGATGGTAGATAAAAGTTTTTGTAATCTAAAAATATAAAAACAGCAAGGTAACTAATGATAAAAGTGAGTGTAAACGCTATTGCAATGCTAGGAAACAAGGTCTAGGGTTCATACTTTCACTAGTGCAAGTTCTCTCAACAATAATAACATAATTGGATCATATAACTATCCCTTAACATGCAATAAAGAGT